CTACAAATTATCCAGTGTTTGTCATTTGCATAACTGGCTGCTGCTTACCACTAATAAACCCGTTGCTCTTGTAACAAGCTATCGCGATCAATGTTTATAAATCATATACGATTTGTTTGGCCCCTGTGTTAAACTCTTTTGGTTTCAGTTTCGGTTTGAATTGCCGAAAAACCTAAATAATTTCATTGTTTTCACTAATTTGATTGGCGTCAAAAATTCATTTGAAATTTGCAGCGCTGCTGATTAATCAAAAAGTGGTTTTGTTATACCCTGCAAACGTTTAATGAGGGTTATGCAAAGTTGTGTGAGTGGTATGAGACGGGTTTAGTCTGGCAAGAGCTGAGTCATTGCAGTTCAGCTGCAAGAGAGTACATTTCGTATGGTTTTTCTATACCCTGTAAGCGTTAAATAAATGCTATGCTAAGGTGTGTAACTGGTATGAGACGGATTAAGTCTGTCAAAGGTAGATATTATCATTTAGATTAGTTTTTCTTGACCCTGTAAATGTTCTACAAAAGTAATGCATAGTTGTGTAACTGGTATGAGACGAATTAAGTCTGTCAAGAGCTGGGTTATCTTAGTTCAGAGCTAGATATAATAGATTTTGAACGTAAGTCGCATAATATTTCCAATTTATTTATAAATTCAGAGAACTCCATTTGCTCTCCTTAAATATTTATTAGCATAACTTTGTGCATCATTACTTTTTAAGTTTTTGGTTTGAAACGAAAGTTATTCTACTCCATTGTCCCTTTCCTTTGTACCTGAATTTTTTCTTGCGAGTCCTTTAGAGCTTAGCTACAGGGTATCTGGCAGTCACAATTTTAGCTGTAACATATTTTACCACCATTTATTTACTTTTTTTTTGTACCAGATAAACGCAAATTTTTAGTGGCACCTAATTAAAGGCAAAGATAATGCGAATAAGAAAACAAGTTTCAAGTCGTTTTTCGAAAAAGTCTTACGAAAAACGCGGCACGCTCAAATGCTTTTACACAGCAATATGCACAGCGCTTCACTTTGGCATATCTGCATAAATTATATATAAATAAATTTATATATTGGAATTTGATTTGGTTTATATATGTATTTATGCATCCATTCAAATGATTGATGCGTAATGCCAGCCAAAAGCCATACAGAGAATTACAAAAGCGAGCAAAAATGACGTACGCTTTGCATAAAAGCTGAAATACACTGCAAGATTTATTGGGAAATTATATTTTATATGCCATAAATAAATAGCGAGTTTTTGTTATTTGTAAATATAATATTTATATGATTTATACACAATTATATAAATATGATTTAAGCATGCCATCTCTAGATTATACATTTTATACGTTTTCTTTTTCCATTAAAATGATGAATAATAAACAGCTCTAGTTAGTATCAAATTTTAGTTTTTCGTATATATTTTAATATGTTTTAATCCAAGCTTTAGGGCAAAGGCAAAGCTCTGTTGTTGCCCGGGGGCAAGGTTTATATTTTGTTTTATTTTGCCACGCCCCGAAGGGCAGCAGCGCTGAGCATTTGCCTGCGGATATTTTGGCAGCCAGACCCCCTACCCCGCCCTATCTAGAGCCCCACACGTTGGCCGCAATTTAAAATCGATTAAATATCGACGCCTGGGACCACCTGCTGTGCATCTGTTTTGGAGCTGGATTTGGCCGCCTTTTGTGTTCCACTTTTTATGTTTATGGCAATAATTTTACTTTTTAACTTCGTCCGATTGATAACCCAAGGCGTTGGTCGTAGATTGTTTGTTAGAATTTAAAATTTAGGCGGCATTTTAACAAGTTTCAGTAGCTAAACACAAAAACAAACGCAGCAAAGTCCAATGCAGAGCACATTTCTGTATTAAAAAAGGTTGTGTTGTGCCTGCCAGCACTTTTTTGTGTTCTGTCATAAATATTTAAAAATGCTTAGCACAAAGGTGCTCAAATATTTCGTTTATTAACTGCAAGCGCTTAATGCCAAAAAGGAAAGGGAAAACCCATTACAAAATAACAGAAAAGAAAACTTGCCTAATGAAGCTTTAATTGTCGCGTTTTGATAGAGACAATATTACCAATATTTATTTCTTTTGTCAAGTTTTATTGATTTTTTTATTGTTGTATTGTTGTCTGTGTCGTGTTGGCCAATGGCATGCAATTAAAATTCATGGCATTTTATTTACTATATACAGCTCTTCAGTCTCACCCGCACAACACGAACAAATCGTTGTGCCCATTTAATATCATGCCACTCGACAGCATTCACATATACGCACACAAAAATATTTCCAATATGCTTTGACCACTTTGATTGCCAAATAGCCAATTTATGAGCCCTAATAACAAATCCCTAATATTAAATAAAAAATTTACAGCAACAACATCAAAATATATGTGCCCGTCTTTTTTTTGTGCCTGCTTTAAAAGCTCTACAAAGTTATGAAATGTTGGGTTTGCCGTTTTTAATTAAAACTAGATTCATGTAACTTTTAGCCGAAAAGTATTTGCGAAAAATATTTGCATGCCTATCGCCGATGTGATGCCATGGCAAATGGCAAAGGACTGTCTAAATAATTTCTATGTCGATTATTGGATTATAATAAAATTTTTTAAAATAATTATAAATTTGTTTGTATGGGGAAAAATGTATGCTATTATAAACTAAATCAGATTTGCGTATAATATATACGATAGCTAATATACCCATTTTATATCTCAAGTTCTGCTGAAGAAGAGTTTGAAATGGTTGAAATTTTATATTAAATTTTTAATTATATTCAAGATTTAATTCATTTCTAATTTTCTAAAAATTGTAAGCCAATTCAGGTTGTAGCTGATATTTAATATTTTTATATAGTTTTAATACATTTAAAAAATTGTTTTTTATTCAAAATTTCTAATTATTTAAAACCCACTAAGTTTTTCATAGCTCAAGATTCAAATGGTTTTTATTTTATTCTTAATAAATTGAAATAATAATAAATTTAAAATTCCTAAGAATTTGGAGCTCAATTAGTTTATTCATAACCTAAAATACAAATGATTCTTTTTGTTTTCACTTTTCTACATCTTTTAAAAATGCAATTTATTTTTAGAGCTGATTTTCATGGCAGCATTTTTAATGGACGCTACACAAAATGTTGCATATTCCCTTAGTTGATGCTCGGGGAGTTTTCCTCTCTTCTATAGCATATATCATCCCATTACGAACAACTCTCCCAATCAACTGCACAATTTGTCATTGTTTCAGTTCCCGACAAAGTCAATAATTAACATAGCCTTGTTATAGGATCGTTAGATTAATGACAAGCATGTGCAGTCAGCTGTCTTCTCTCTCTCTGATAGGCAACCCTCTGTGCATCTCTTTCTCGAACTCTAGACCTTAATTTTTCGTTGGCTGCGTAAAGTGCATTTGCTGAACCCGAAATCCGCCCGATAATTACGCGTAAAAAGCAAATAAAACTATTGTCAACACATTGCAGCTCATAAAACTGGAAACGTGAAACGGCCAATATCGAAAAAAAAAATACAAAATATTTTTGACGTCTGTGGCGGCGCCTGCGCAGCTGCTGTAAATTCCGTATGTGCCTTCCTGCCCGGCGCCGGGTAACGTGTACCTTTGTTAGGGCTTAAATGACAGGGTGCGTGCCGGCTCTGATCCCGGGTTGGGTAATTAAAATAATGTTCACACACAGAGCAAATTTTCAAGGGCGGCCATGTGTGGCACACATTTGTACATGCACGGGGTGGAAATATAATAATAAAAAAAAAACCAAAACTCGTAATACAAAAGCCATGAGTCGAGACCTATGTATGTAGAGCGCGTCAGAGCGCTGCATCAAAGGACAGCCGACATCTCGAAAGCAAAAATTTCAAATTCAGCGCAAAAGTCTCGACTGCGACATCTTGTCAGGGAAAAGGCAAAAACACAGACTTCACTCTTTCATTCCCAAGCTCTCCATCTCTCTCTTTCCCTCCTCTCCCTCTCTCTCTCTCTCTTTCCCTGAGCACGTGTGCCAAATATCTTGAATATTTAATATTTTGCTGCTAATGTCATTAAAAAGTTTTCGCTTTGTGCATTTTGTGCTTCGTGTTGCACTGACAACCAATTTAAAAAGTAAAAAGTTCACAATTTGTATACTCTGTTATTATATAAAACTTAAAAAGGGTATGACAGAATTGTGCAAAGTATTAACAGACAAATGCCTGTCAGCATAAAGGCTACCTAGTTGTCGACATATTTATTTGACTATCAACAAGAACTATTTAAAATAATATGTATGCATTTTGTCTTGCCAAAATTATTATGACGAACACTCTACAAGAAAAACGCAATATTGCATTTTTAAAATTTTTTTTGCTAGGGTAACTCCTAGTCTTATTCAAGGGCACTTTTCCAAATGCCGAGTGATGGATAGCTACTTTTTGGCCTTAATTTGTAGGTTTCTTTTGTCTTATAATTGATTTAAGTCAACTTCAGACAAATATTTGACTTAAAAAGCAGGCTTGATTGTTATCAGAGAAAATGGTTAATTGAGTAGACGCTTAAACTACTTGAGAATTACAAGCGAAAATGGCTTAATTTGTTGCCTTCCATCTCCATCCAAGCAATTTAATTAACTTGCATTAAAATTTGTTTTTAAAACCACATTAATTTTCTGTTAAAACTCGAATAAAAAAAAATCACAAGAATTTAACATTATCTCCTTCTTATGTTTCTCTCATTGCAGCCTGTCACAGCTACAGCAACAACAATGTATTGAATAGCCGAACGATAAACATTAAGGGTGTTCCCATATAAAAAGCCAAAACGAATGCGAGAGCGAAAAAAAAACAAACTCAATGAATAATTCAGGTGCAACGTGTAAAACCAGCAATTAAAACGACAAAAACCGACAGAGGCCACGCGGCGTTCAATTTAATAATTAACTCCAAACAAACAACAACAAAAATAGCAGCAGCAGCAACAACAACAACAGCAGCAACAACAACAGCTCAACGCGTGCCCCCAACCAAAATGGCGGCACGACGTTGCCCGTTGGCGCCCCCAATGCGAGGACTCCAACCGCAAAGGCAACGTATGACCAGCATCCCGTTACCCGCCACCAGGTGCATAACTCACATGCTGCTGCTGTCCATGTTGCTGTTGCACCTGAGCAATATTGGCTTGGCGACAGCAACTGGCGAACAGCAGGCGGCCAGCTATGCTGGACTGAGTGCCGAAAATGCAGCCAGAATGCTGGCGGGCAGTCCCGGTGAGGCGGAGGCCAATGCTCAACATGGTGGCAACGGGCACAGCGAGATGTCGCTGGTGCTGCCCCATGATACCTATCCGGGCTTTAGCATCAAGAAATTCAAGACGCGTCCGCTGCAGCAGCCCAACGGCACAGCAGCTCATCATAGAGGAGCAGGAGGAGCTGGAGCTGCTGCCTATCACATGCTGGACAGCGACTATTCCAAGTACTTCACCGTGCTGGACGATGGCGTTGTGATGACCACAGCGGACATATCGCCTCTGGTGAATCGTCCTGTACAGCTGGTGGTTGTCGAGCAGACACCGAATGCGACCAATACGCATAATCTGCAGCTATTTGTCATGCATCGCAAGGATATGTTGCGCTTCTCTGGCTCACTGCTGGATGCCAGCGGCGAGGTGCGCGAGAATCATCCGGCGGGCACACGTGTGCGTGGCGTGCCCCTCATGCAGGCATTCAGCGGTTCCATATTGGATGAGGAGCTGGCACAGCCGAAGAAGGTGCGCTACACCATCATCGATGGCAATGTGGATGATGCATTTGCGCTCCAGGAACGTCGCGCCAATCAGAATGTCCAGTTAAATGCCAAATCGTTGGTCATCGAGGGTGACGATGAGTCGGGCGTGTGGCTGGTCACGAATCGTCCATTGGATCGCGAAGAGCGCTCGCACTATGATCTCTCCGTGGAGGCCTCCGATGTGGATGGCCTGGACAAGACGGTGTCCAAGATACAAATCACAGTGCTCGATGAGAATGACAACAGGCCCGTATTTAAGTCGCAGGACTACAAGTTTGCCATTGCCGGCAAGAAGTCGCTAAATAGTGACAGCAACAACAGCGTCAGCTGGCAGCGCTTCGCCATATTGGGCCGCGTCGAGGCCACCGATGCCGATGGCGACAAGATTGCCTATCGCCTGAAATCGCCCAGCAATGTGGTCATCATTGTGCCACAGACGGGCGAGCTAATGCTCGCCGGCGAGCCGACCACCAATGAGCTGCTGCTCGAGGTAATTGCCCATGATCTACGCTATCCCAGTCTGTTGAGCGCCCAGCCGGCCAAGGTGCTGTTGGAGTTTCTGGCACCTGAGCCGGTGTCCTTTATAATGCAGCACCTGGAGCACGATGCGGTCAACGAGCATTCGCATCATCGGGAGAAGCGACGCGTTACGCGCGCTGTCCGACCCACCAAACGTATCGAGTTCACCGAGGCCGATGGCGATACCGAGGGCAAGTCCGTGTTTCAGCTGGAGAAGGAAACGGATAAGGAAACGTTCAAAATACGCGACGATAATCCCTGGGTGACGGTCGAAACAAATGGAGCGGTGCGCGTGAAAAAGAAGTGGGACTTTGAAGAGCTTGGACCGGATAAGACTATCGATTTCTGGGTCATCATCACGAACATGGGACACAATGGTGAGTGGAGAGCATCAAATACAAAAAAAAAAAGATTTCGTTGCGCCTGTGTTGCACAATAAACGTTGGTTACGATAGTCGATAGGCAGCTTAATCGATAATCGATCTTTAAAATATTCGCTAAATATATGAAACCTTTTCAAACTAGTCCCACAAAACTGTCATTATCAGGCATATTCGATAGATTTCCCAATAAAAAGAATTGATTGATAAAATCGGCAGCTCAATATAATATCGAAAATTCTATCGATAGTTCAATTTAAGAATCAAAGAATTGGTGTGGAATATGTCTGTCTACTTCTCTAAAGTGCCTTTAAAATTGCGCTGCCAGTTTTTGTCGCTGGTTTCTTACTTTACTCTCATAATTAGGAGCTGACATATTTAAATGTGTCAATGTGAACACATTATGAAAATTGAACGAACAGCCATCCATTAATAGACGCAACAGACGAAGCTAAACTTAGGTTGGGCAATTAATGGAACTTAATGAGTTGGGCAATGAAATGGGAGCTCATTTGCAGCTAATGAAATAGGGGTTATGGGCGCAGGAAATAGTCTAAAACCATATGAAGTTGTGCGGGAAAAACTATTAAATAACATTTTCAAATGCCAAAAATAATGGAGCATTTAAATGGAAAATGCTCAACGCTGAATTGTAAGAAACTTTTTTTTTTGTTTTGCTGAGCAACTTTTATTGGTTTTCCACATGAAGCTTGCGCCTGACCACATCAATTAAATGGCATAGAACACATAAAATATAAAATTTCCATGCTCGACAAATTTGACTGTCGACAGCAGTTTGTGTGCGTTGTGGGACAAAGCGTTTTGTGTGCGCCCTTGGGAGGCCAGAGATTTTGCAACACTTGATGAAAACTCGCAGTTAAAAGGCAAATGCCGAAGCGATCCTGTGTGGCAAATGGGTATATACAAATATTTGGTTGTCATGACAAGTAATTACGCATGAAGCGAGCTGTACAAAGGAAATCAGTGCAGGGAGAAGACACAGACAACTGGTGGGGCAGTTGCCTGGTCAACACATTTGGCCATTGTTGCTGTTGGGCAGTCGTTTCAAGCGTAGCTCAATAAGCAAATATTGAAGCCTTTCAAACATGGCCAAGGATTCAAACTGAGCAGCCAATCAAATGTCTGCCTACCTGACTGACTGACTGGCTGTCTGTCAGTTGAACTCTCCTTACTGTCTCTCGTTCTGATTCGTTAATGGCACAAAATGACCAAACAGTAGCACATTTCATGTCCATTGCAATTCTTCATGTCTCGAATCGATGCCACTTTGACATGACTCGCAAAAAAGTTCAACTAACTGACAGACAAGCTCATGAATTGTTGAAAAATATACGCTCGCTCCACAGTCCAGCACAATCAACAATGTTACAGTTTAAAACAACGTCTGTTGTTGTTTTACTTTTTTTTTTTAAATACCCTGTAAAACAAAGTAAAAAGAGGCGTACTCACTTGGAATAGAGGAATAAAGTATGTAAAAGTAGCTACTCTACTTGAAATTAGTCAATCTATAAATCTCGGGGATTTCAGGGTCCTTAAAAGCAAGAGACTTGAACGTAACTTCTACTAAAACGCATGAGTTCATCCAATCAATCGATTAAAATCTATATCGAAATCTCATTTTTACTCATCTCTCTTAACAGATACGATATCTGTCACTTTATGGCTGCAGAAGACTAATATTCGAGTATTCGAGTAGAGTATTTCCGACAAGAGCACTTTTGTTTTTAATTTTTCTGTCTAACTTTCGCGTAAGTGTCCAAGTGTGCCACTCCAGGCCTGGGTATATCCTAGTTGAGCACTCTCAACTAAACCAAATTGACATGTTTTTGTTTTTCATTTGCTGCATTTTTTCCGCGTTGCACTCGCTAATTGTGACAGGCAGCAGAGCTGGGTCTGGCCCTGCCTCTGGGATTGCGCCGCCTTTGGGGTTAGGCTGGGGCTTTGCGTTGTTCAGCCTGCTGTTCAGTTGATTAACAATTTTTCATAAATGCATTCATGTTGCAACTGCATCAACTGTCGCACTTCATCTGTTTCATTTGCTCGCATTATATGCTTTTCAGTTGATGATTTTCATTAAAATTTTATTGATTTCCTCAACGCATGCGAGAGAAGAACGAACTTATTAATTATGCATGCGACTCTTAAGTGCAGGCAGTTAAAAGTTGAAAGTTGATGAGCTACGGGTAGAATATGAATCACAACTACATTCATCAAAGTATTATGTAACTTTCGTTTACGAACACTTTCAAAAGGTAGGTATAGTGGAATGTTCTAGATTTTATTGAACAAGAGGTTAACTACAAATTAAGCTAACCTCATTAATTATTGAAGCCCAGCAAATTACGACTTTAGGCTTAAGTTAAGTCAAAATGATACATTTTTTAACACTGCTTGCAATGTCCATCATTTACCAGCACTACTGAGTTCTCAGAACTGGGAAGCATCTTATTTCATGGTTTCCTTGTGAACATTCACCAACACTGCCCGCTTCTTAAGTGGCTCAATTTTGTAAAACTCAGCAAGCCACTTGAGAGCATGCCCGAAAATCATTATCCTTATCCCAAGCACTTGCATACTAAACCCAATCAATAGTCCTAAGCTACAAGTATATCTTGTTTCTCAAAGAGAGAGGGGTTGCCACACAATCTCGTATGCGTTGCACATAGAACTGATTGTTACGGTTGCTGCCTCTTGCAACGCGAGTACGTGTGTGTCACGCACAGGCAAAAAAAAAAAATAGTAAAAGATATACAAACATATATGTATAGGTTGGTAGTGCCTGTGAGGCCACTTGTGTGCGCCAGGACATAAATGCCAGATAAACATAATTCATTTAGCAGGAGAGAAACCCAACTAAAAACACTTGACAATGCGTTTCACTTGGCTTAGGCGTCGGCATAGTTTGAGGTTAGTTTCTGTTTGTTTTTTTGTTAGGTTTTTTTTTCTGGGAAGGCAAGTACAAGAAATTTACGACAATATTTTTCATTCATTTAAAATGCTACGCCAGTACACACCAGAGAGACAGGGAGGAAGAGAGAAAAGGCAGAGTGAGGGTGGAGAGAGAAAGAGCGAGATATGAGAGCACAAGAAAGGCGGTAAATGAAACGAAATGAACATGAAACCAAATGAAAGGCTGAGCAGCTGCTGAGCATGCGCAGAGTGAAATGAGATTGGAGAGAGTTTCAAGCGAGAGGGAGAGAGAGAGAGAGAAGCTGGGGGTTGGGTGACAGACGGCGAACGCGTGCCAAGTCCAACAGGAAAATGCTCGTAACAATTAGAAGAACCACCGCACCAATCTCTCATACATAGAAAAAACACAAAAAAAAAGCAAGCACATGAAATGGGGTTTTGTTAAGTATGAATGCCTGATTGGATGCAGTATTGCAAATTTGGGGAGGCACACTCGACTGTGCGGGGGCTGGAGTTAGCTGACTGATTGAGTCGCCCACTTGAATGGCGCGTGTTTGTTTTAGAAATTTTCCAGCGCATTGTTTTGCCCAAAAATTTATGCACACACGCACGCACACACACATACTCAAACAGCGCCTGCCCCAAGGGTGGCTTGTATTTTTTTTTATGCTCTGGCATTCCGTCACTAATGCTAAAACATAGCGCACATGACGAAAGAAAAGGAAAAAGCGCTAAAAAAAAAAAGGGCCAGCTACTAGCGGGTTTTAATACACTTCAGAGTCTATTCCAATTTGGACATGGAGAGTGCAATAGCCCATAAAGCATATATATTTTTAGTATTTGGTAATCAAAACAGAATTGAGCGAATTTATCATCAGTTCAAATAAACAGGCGAGCTTAATTCGACAATATACGCGTATATCAAATGCAACCCTGCAATGAGAAAATAGTTTGTGATATATCAATATAACAGAAGATGAAAAACTATCGCTTAAAATTCAATGTTGAATTCGTTGTTGCTCTTTGCTTCGAATTTCGGGATATGTCAAATCATTTAATTAGACTAAAATTATCAGAGCCAGGTTAAATGATCTTAACTTATACAAACATTGGCAATGCAAAATTTAATGTTGTCTGTTGTTTCTTTAAGTATCTTCTTCTTCACTCCACTTCTTCACTTCTCCACTTCTTCACTTATGCATTGGCTCCTTTGCTCCCCGCTCTAGTGATTCTTCCGGCAATACTTATTCGTATAATTATCGATTCGCTGCATATGGCCATCGGACGAGGTTGCCAGATGCTTACAAAATAGTAATAATTATAAGTTCATGCTCATACACTTATTTTTGTAAAGAATATAAGAGTTTAAAATAATCTAATTGCTTGTAAACTCCATCATCATGAAATTTAGTAGAAGTACGGAGAAAGTATATATATCTGAACGGAACACTATATATTACTACGTTTTTTACCTCGTAATATTTTTTAGAGGAGATATGTTAACAGCTGGCAATTAAAAGCTTTAAACTCCAAATTTCAAATTACTAGTATAATACTATCATTATATGAGTATTTTATTAAACACTCCCTTTAAGAACTATCAGAAATCTCTCACATGCCCGCAAGAGTATTAAATGTGCGATGCTCAACACTGGCAGCTTTGCTTTCTTGTGCTCCTTTGTTTTCATGCCATGTAAAAAGGGAAAAGGCATGCAATTTATGCAGTGCATGAAAAATGAAAACCTGCACGCATGCAAAGCACAAACAGGAGCACAACACACGGCCCACAGTTGCATAAGTTCTAGCTGGGTGCGGGGAAGGGTGTGAGAGACAACACTGTTGATAATGCAAAGTTATGCAGCTTTATGTGCACAGTAGCTCGACGCACCCATCCTCCGCCATCCGCCCTCCGCCCCTTTGTGGCAGCTGACGGCTGCTGTTTTACCTAGACAAAGCTTAAAGATTGGAAAATCCGAAAAACTTTTAGGGCATGTCCTTGCGTATTATTGAGCTCGGCTCTTACAGGACACAGCTGCGGTTTTTATTTCGGGATATTGCGATAAAAA